AATAAACAAGTAACTGTTGATTAAGATGTCTCTACATTCACTAAGAAGGGAACTGACACCTAAGATATTTACTGATAACATAGATTGCTTGCTGACTAAGAAGTCAGCTGATAACTATGTAAAAATGGAGATATTAGGTGACACCTGGCTTGGGTTCCCACTTCTCAACTCTAAGCCTGTTTCTGCACAGCAGCTGCCATCTTGTGTCCCGCCCACTGACATGGAGTCCACCTCCGGAGCCCACCTACCAAAGCCCCTCCACCCACTCTCTCCCAGTTTCTAGTCAGAGAGCTGACTCTTCCTCAATGAATGCCATGTCAGACCCAGCAAATGGCCTCAGCCTCCTCTATCGTCCCCGCAGTGTCCATGCCCCCTCCACCTTCTCTCCACACCCTCCCTCCCCCAACCCCAGACATGTCTGAGGAGGGAGAATCCCTCCCCTGGGACCTGGTGCCCCTTCTCTGCAGAGATCTGCAGCTAGCAGCTCTCACAGATCTCTCAAAGCTCTTTCCTGACAGCTGTGACCTTTGATTAATTCTCAGGACTAAATCACCAGGTCCTAAGGGGGGCGATGAGGGAGCAGCTGGAGCAGATGTGGTGGGCAAGTCCTCCTTTAAAACGGTGCCGGGGCTGAGTCACCCTCAATTAATCCCAGATGAGGTTCTCCTGCTGTGCCTGGAAAGGATGATCGGGGAAAACACTGACGGGCCGGCTGTGAGGCCGCGGGGTTATCACTGAGACTGCAGGCCCAGTCCCGGCCTCCTGCCTCTTTCCTCCCACGGGACGTTCCTAGCAGCATGTGGAGTTGAGCAAAGTTGAACCCCTGACTTCGAGGTCCCAGTGATGGTGCCAAGGGAGGCTCCATCCATCTGCCAGAGAAGACGGTTCTGTGGGAGTGGTCAATCCCAGGCTGAGAGAGAGACAGCCCAGATCCATCCTCAAGTACACGCTCAGTGGGGTACCTTGGAAGACCAGGGATGTGCTCAGCTGTGTGTGTACCCATAGTGAGCCCACCTTCCCAGACACAGAGCAGGAAGTATGGACTTGGCAGGTTCGAGGGTAGTTTGGGGACTGAAGATACCCCTGGAAATCAGGACTGTCTTGGAGAATCCAGGAGGTACAAGGGCCTTTGGTTTGCATGAAGGCTTTTGGCAAGCAAGGCACTGGAGCAGGGTTTGAATCCTGGCTCTGCCATCTTCTCATGTGTGGCCTTGGCCAGGCCCTTATTTGGTGAAGTGTTTAGAGCAGTGCCTGACTCACAATTACAAAAACAACAAACCAGTTACTATTGAGTTGACTCTGACTCATGGCGACCCCATTTGTGCAGGGTAGAACTGTGCTCCACAGGGTTTTTAAGGCTGTGACCTTTTGGAAGCAGATAGCTAGGCTTTTCTTTCGAGGCACCCCTCAGTGGGTTTGAATCGCTAACCTTTCAGTTGGTAGTCGAGTGTTTAACTGTTTGTGCCACCCAGGAACTCCTCTGCATATAATTGTTGTTAGGTTGTTAGGGGACATCGAGTCGGTTCCGACTCATAGCGACCCCACGTACGACAGAACGAAACATCGTCTGGTCCTGCGCCATCCTCGCAATCATTGCTATGTGTGAGCCCATTGTTGCAGCCACTGTGTCAATCCATCTTGTTGAGGGTCTTCCTCTTTTCCACTGATCTTCTACTTTACCAAGTATGATTTTCTCCAGGGACTGGTTCTTCCTGATAATATGTCCAAAGTACGTGAGACAAAGTCTCACCATCCTCGCTTCTAAGGAGCATTCTGGCTGTCCTTCTTCCAAGACAGATAACTGATAGATATTATTGCTGTCGGGCTGTTCGATGTCACAGACCACAGCTCCTGCACACTGGGCTGTCTGGCATACTGAAGAACTGGAAGGCCTACAGACAGGGCTGGAGTTACAGCTCTAAGGAGATGAGTCATGGGTATAGGGTTCCAGGCCCCATGACTCCAGCCGGCCTGGCCCTACCTTCCCCCCAGGGCACCCACCTCCCTCCTGTGGGCAGGCCTAGGGGGTGATGGAGCCTTGTGGACGATCCTTGCCCCACCCTTGGATCTGAGGCCTCGGCCTGGAAGACTCACCTCTCCCTGGCTGTTCCCACTCTCCTCTGTCTGCCAGCGCTACCACGGCCCACCCACCACCCAGGGGGATTCCCTACTTGCTCATTGTTGGTCACCCCAGATTCCATTCTCCAAACTCATCAGCTTGGACAAAAGCCTGCAGCCACCCACCCTCTAAGCATCAGGCAGGGACCCAGACCATGAAACAGATGCTTTCTGCTTGCTCTCCTCACAGGAGTCAAAGGGAGAGCAAACTCTTCTCCTTTCTCTGCCCCTGGCCTTCCTACGAGGGGCTCATCTGCCCAAGAAAAATGCCCCTCCTGGGCTCAATTCTGTCTGGTCATCGCACTGGGCTTTTCCTACAAAGTAGGAGGAACACTGTAAGTGGGATAATCACAGATTAGGGGTCAAGATACTTCATTACGTATTGTAGTGGCACAGCCTCTGTGAGCCACGGTTTTGTCATCTGCAAAATGGGGATAACGCTTTCCTGTCTGGTCAAATCCACTGCCTTGAATCCAGCAAAACTGCCCTGAGCCCCGCAGCCCATGCGTGTGGCATAAAGGCAACCAGAGGCCCCTCAGCTTGTTCAGACTCCACCCTGCGCTCTACTTGGCTTGTGCTGGCAGCTCTCCTCACCCAGACTCGCTGCTTCTCAGGCTTGGACTCTGTGGGCTTCCTCCCTGTGGTGGCTGTGGTGGGTGCTTGGCCCAGGTCCTCTCCACCGATGGGTGTGCCATCCCCAGTTGCTATGGGTGTTGGCTGCTGATGGCTCAGCTGTGCCCTTCTCGGGAGACTTACCCTGAGCCAATGGTACCCCCTTGTTCAGAGATACCTGGGAAGTTACATGCCCCCTGTAGAGGTGGCCCACAGCTCTGAATCCAAAGATTCAGGGTGCAAAAGCCCAGCCCCCTTCCTTAAGGAAGAACAACTCTGTGGGGCCACATACACCAGAGCTCCATTAGAATTCCCTGGACAGAAAGAAGAACATGTTACATGCACCGGTATTTTAAATACCAGCAGGTTCACCCCTGGTGGACAGGTTTCAGCAGAGGTTCCAGACTAAGACAGACTAGGAAAAAGGGCCTGGTGATCTACTTCTGATAATCAGCCAATGAAAACCTTATGGATCACAACAGTATATTGTCCAACTTGCTTGCTTTGGACACGCCATCAGGAAGGATCAATTGTTAGAGAAGGACATCATGTTTGGTGAAGTAGAGGGCCAGCGAGGGTGGGGAAGACCCTCAGTGACATGGATTGGCACAATAGCCACAATGGACTCGAACATGCTGGTGATTATGAGGATGACGAAGGACCAGGCAATGTTTCGTTCTGTTGTATATACGGTGGCTGAGTCGGAGTCGACTTGACGACAGCTAACAACATTCCCTCCCAAGATACCCCACTTCCTCTCTCAGGAGGGCAGGCTGGTGCTGTGGTGAAAGCATCAACTGTGAACAGAAGAGCTCTTAGTGGTGTGACTTAAGTCACAGTATGATTTTCTAGGCTTCAATTTTCTTATCTGCAGGATACAGGTCATAATTCCCACTTTGCGGCATTGCTGTAAGGATTCAAGTGCAGCAGCAAGGCCCCTTGCCTGGTGCCTAGGATGTTGCTACAGCCTTGGCTGCCCCCTTCCCTCCTCTCCCGGGAGGAGAAAGTTGAGTGGGAGAGCTGGCGCATGGAAGCTGGGCAGCCAGCGTGGAAACCATGCCTCTGTGGCCTGTAATGGCCAATGCTAGCCCAGCTGCACCATGTCCCTGCGTGTTAGTGGCCTCATAACCCATCCTTGAGGGTCCAGTTCAGGAACTGCGCTGCCTGTAAATGAAAGACAAAGCCAACTTCGGATGCGGAGCTTTTGGTTTGGAGGCTACCTTATCTCTGAGCACTGGCTCCTGGTCCATGAGTGGTCCGCTAGGGGCTCTGGTGGATGTCTCCACTCTAGCTCACACCACTGGGCCATCCACACCCAAGAGCCTCAGGACATTATCAGCAGAACCCAAGCCAAGTCAGCAGAAGGCAACATGATGAATGATGATGGCTGATCCACTCGGTCAGTAGGCTCCCTGAGCAAGCCCCAAGCTCCTTTTCCAATAACTGTTGTTGAAGGAATGACCCAGAGCTCGCTGAAGGACACCTTCTACTCTGGGCCCTGCGGCCAGGCCTGGCCAGGCCAGACTTGATCTGAGAGCTCCAGCTAGGCTCATGGTTAAAGTTTCCAGCTCTTGGCTTTTTGTCCCTCGTTCCATTCCTTCTCAGGTCACAATTCCATGCATTCTTGGTCAGAAGTAGATGGCCATAGTGAGGCCCAGAGATTTGGGAGAAACCAGGACCCTCATCAGGCCTTTCATGGGCTCAGACCACCACTTAAGGAACAGAGGGTATCTCAGTCTGGGTTCTCTAGAGGAGCAAAACCAATGAGATGAATATATACATAAATATATATATTTACTTCAGAGAAATGGCTCACATAATTGTGGGGGCTGGCAAGTCCCAAGTCCGTAGGTCAGGCAGCAGGCTGGAGACCTCTGCTGGCTCCTGGGACTGTGAGGACTGGCAAATCCAAAATCTGCAGGACAGGCAGCAGGCTGGAGACCTCTGCAGGCTTATGTCCCAGGAACTGGAGGTCAGGCAATGAGAAGAGTGCAGGGTTGAGAGAGAGCAAGCTTTGCCAGAATATCCGTTTATATACTGGAGGCAGACCACACCTCCAAGCAAACTCCCCTTTCAACTAACTGGCTGATCACATCATAGAAGATGATTATATTATATAACATTATGGAAGAGCAACCAGTCCAGTACCTGCCAAACCACTGAGAATCACAGCCTAGCCAAGCTGACACATGACATTAACCATCACAGAGGGTCTCTAGCAACAAAGAGAAATTACTGTGACAAGGATGGGCTCCCAGAAATCTAACCAGAAGAATGCATGGAATCAGAACATGGGGAGTAGGTAACACTAAGGTTTCATTACATGAGATGAAGATACCCTATAATAGGGCCGACTCTGCCAACAGGATAAAAAATCCTCCGAGTTTACTGGTTAAATCTTTTTTTCCTTCACGGGCCTGGGATGAGGACTGACATTTGTAAACGCTTCTTTTAGTAAATGTTTTCTTCTTTTTAACCAAAGACGATCCCATTCTAGACCATCAGTTTATTCTTACCAGGCCAAGATTAACCACAATAAGCAGTTCTCACGTATTGAGAATTTATCATGTGCTATGTGCTTTACACACATTATCTCACTTTATCCTCACACCAGACAGCATTATTATTTTTACTCCTGTTCTACAGTTGAGGAAGCAAAGGTTCAGACATTTTCCATGGCTTGCCTAGGTCACTGGAATTTTAAGTGGCACAGCCAGGATTTAAACCTAGGTCTGGTGGACCCCAGACTCCATGCTCTTGGCTGTCATATTGCTTTGCCCATCAAGAGAGCTCCATTAAGCGAATGTCACCCTCTGTTCTGTCCTCAGTCTGCAAGATCTTAAGCTGAGAGATGAAAAGAAACTTCCAATCCCTACCCAAACTGAGGGACTGTACGAACAGCTTTAGGGGGGCTTTTTTGTTTTTTTGGATCCCACTTCATACAATGGAAGGAGCGTGTTTTCCTAACCGGGGCATATCCCCCTAGGCAGCTAGATACCCTGCCTGGGAGAAAAAAAAGAAACTGGAGGGGTCCATAGCTCGTTTGCGACTTTGCAAAATAGTACATTTTGATGTTTTCCTCCACACTAGCCAATAAAAGAATTGAAAATGCAAAAAAGGAAAATTCACTTGTAGGTCTTCCATCCAATGATCTGTGGGAAAATATCCTTCTTTCATTTTTCTTTGTAAGAGTTGGAATTTTAAAAAAACATTATGGTTGGGACCACAGGGTAAATGTATCCTGCTTTATTCATGAGAAGTTTTCCCTACTGTTCCATGTTTTTTTAAAACTGTCTTTGCTGGCTGCCTCCTCTCCCATTAATGAGATGCAACCACTTTCCTGAAGGTGTCTTTAGGTTGGATGAAGCCTGCCTATGTCATTTCCCAGCACACCTATTGTTTGTTTAGGGACCTACAGATTGGCTGTTTTCTTTGGCAGACAGTCGGCTCCTACTGTGATAGCGTTTGCTGTGGGGCTTCCCAGGTACCATTTTCCTTGTGCACAAACTCTTCACTCATTTCCCCAACAGAAATAGGCCTGACATCCACCCATAAGCCTGGGTGTCCACTGGCTTGGCAACAACTTCCACTCCCATCATATGGAATCATCCCCACGCTGTGGGCCTCTCATCCAACACCTGCTCCTGTACCGAGGGCACCACAGCCAAGACTTCCCGGGTTTTACAGATTCTAAAGACTTTGCAGGAGGGGAGACTCAGCCAGACTCTGCTCAGGACCCCAGTGGTTGAACTTCAAGTGAGATGGGCAATTAGGGGAGGGGACAACTAGACATAGTGGGTGGCATAAGAGGGTTTGGAGGCCAGAAGACATGGATTTGGATCCCGGCTTTTCTACTTTCAACTGTGAAACTGAGCACATTATTGAGCTTTGGAGTTCTTGGTTTCCTCATATTTACAAGAGGATAATTCCTTCCCTCTAGAGATTTTGAGGAAATTAAACAAGATAATGTAAGTGAACTTGCCGAATCCAGTGTTTGTCCTAATCAAGAACTGACTAAGCTCACCTCCCTTCCCACCCCTAGGAATCAGGGTCTTCTATTCAATTGTTCCACTATATCTATTATTTCTTAGTAAGTACCAATAAGATCTTGTTTTCAAAAGTTTTATTTTTCTTGGAGAACAGGTTCTCCAAACTCATGCTGGTATCTGCCAACTGGTCAGTCCAGTAGCTCAGAGGTTTTACGGGCCCATTGCTCTGGCCAGATAACGTGCAGACGAAAGGCTTTCTACCCTCGTCAGCTGGTTCTAGACTACTCGGGAAAACAAAAGGCAATGAAGTAAAAGCACTCACTCCTCACTCCTTGCACCAAACCCCTCATCCATTTGCGTATATTTAGTCCACGCAATGGGGTTGTGTGTATTCAAGTCAGCACTGGTGATGTCTTAAATCCCTAGTGTACAGTTCTTGCCCCTGAGTTCTCTTCTGCTCCTAGTCTTTCGCAACTTCACTTCCTCATCTCTTGGTCCTGGACCAAACACATTCCAGTTAAACTGAAGACTGGAGAGAGGTAGGACTAGACAGAAATTGTGGTTTGAATGCATCGATTAAGCCAGTTATTCTCAAACTTTGTTTCTTAGTAGAATCACTGGGGGGGCTTCTAAAAATCCTGATACCCAAGTCATACCCTACACCGATTAAATTGGAATTTCTGAGCATGGGGACCAGGCGTAGTATTACGTTTCTCAGATAGAAGTTTGAGCCAACCAATGATTTAATTGCTGTTGCCAATGTGCTTGAATCACTGTTGTCTTGAATCAGTGCTGTCTGCCATCCACTGAAAGTTCCAGAGCGAGGAGGACCGCATATGTCTCACTTCAGAACATTCTATGGGGTGTTAGGAACATAACCAATGCTTCTGATGATGATGGAATACCTCAACCTGTTACTGATTAACTCCTAGCACTGGAATATGGTGGGAAGTCCAAGTTCACACATATTCCCAAAGTCATACAGGATAAACATTTTATTACATTACAAAAGTCATCTGTTCACTGTTGAACTGCAGGAGACCGCATTGAGGCTACTTTGAAAAATGACATCAGAAAACAAATATAGATTTTCAGCAACACAAAGGGTAGATTGTCTCCTGTCTTCCTCCATTAAATATTAATCATTGCCTCTGGCCAGTTCTGGTAAGAGCCCTCAATTGCTGACTTCACGTAAACCAGGGCTGCCCTAATCTACCACCGGCCGGGGTTCTCTCCTGGCCATCCCCCTAGCAGCCAGGCCTCTGCAGCTCTGAAGATGAGAAAGCACTGCACGGGCACTTTCAGCATCACCCCGGTGCAGTGAGCTCGCTCTTCTTCACGGCTGGCTCTGGGGCCGCATCACCATCTGGGGCCCATGTGAGCAGACGTCCTGTTGGGCTGTGGTGGGGTTCTGAGATTGGGGACCAGCAGCGCGAAGCCTGCTTCCGCTCCACTACGCAGCAAATGTTCCACCCTGGGGGAGCGGGTATGAAGTGCTGCTCGTCTGTCATCCACGTGAGGAAGTGGGGCTTCGCCCGAGAGCCGGCGCATCAGCACCAGTGCAGGCCCTGCAGCGCATCTGCCCAGGTGGGGCGGAAGAGGCCCGCACCGCAGAGCTGAGGGGTGGTGGGGACTGGGGCAGAGCGACTAGCACTGCTGCCTTTCAGAACAACTTCAGAACACCCCAGTGTCCATTTCCACATACCGATATTTGAACAAGACCCAAATGGCTTCATTTATTTTGCCTGAAGTTGTGGGGCCCATACATCAGAATCCTGAGCTCAGTTACTGGGTCAACGCTGACTGCCCACGCTGCTCCTGAGCCACATACAGCTCCTCAGCTTGGCTTCGTGTTCCGAGGAGTGCCAAAGGCAGTGCAATTTCCGGAATTCAGAAGCTTCCAGGCTGCTTGAGAGGCAATGCACTCATTCCTGCTTGCTTCTCTTTTCCTGCTCCCACCCAGCAGCATCTCTGGTGGTTTCACGTGGGGTCAGGTAGCTTCTTCCACTCTGCAGGGCGGGGGTCGAGGGAACCACTGCCCATGTTTCTCCTTTACCCACACCCTCCATCACCCCTGCACAGGCCTCCCCACAGAAGCCCACTGCTGACTCTAGTCTGTCATAGTACCAGGTAAGTATTGAAAACCTTTGTCTTTCTCTTTCCCTGAGCCAGCAGGCTCCTTTCTCTTCATTCCAGGCTTGGCAGGAGGTTCCCTGGGGGCCCTGGCGGTGGCTGCAGCCTCCCTGCAGTCACTCTTGCACCAGGAAGTTGATGAGGGCAGTTCTGGGGGAGAGGAAGGCCTTCTTAATGCTGCGCCCCTGCAAGAGCCTGACCCCCAGCTCGCTCTGGAGAACAAGTTTGTGTACTTTGTCCTGGTCCCGGGCGACTTGTTGGGGCACAGGGATTTTGCCGCAGGCTTTGTTGTTGATCTGAGAAGAAAAGGCGAGAGGAACAATGAGGCAAGGCATCAGAGTAGCAGGCAACCAGATATCCAGCAGCCACGGCCGCCGGCAAAGGGCACCGCTGCACGTGTTTAAAACCAAACCCATTGCCGTTCAGTCGATTCTGACTCCCAGTGACCCTACAGGACAGAGTAGAACTGCCCCATAGGGTTTCCAAGGAGCAGCTGGTGGATTTGAACTGACGACCTTTTGGTTAGCAGCCGAGCTCTTAACCACTGTGCACTTGCTTGGGAGAAGGGAATACAGGGGAAGAAAGGAAGAAAGGTCAACACCCAGCTTTGCAAGGGGATAAAATGCACTCAGATGGATATAATTAATACCTGAACGCTGCAGAGAGAGACAGACAGAGACACTGAGACTGTACATGAGTGCCCACACCTTAAGTGAGGACTGCTTTGTGTTTCCTGAGCGTGGCCAAGCACAGCCGTAGTGGAAGGCATGGCAAAAATCCGCAGCATGGGACGGCTTAGGCCATTTCCAGGGGGAGAGGATTACTGTGTCACTGGGGAGCAAGTCTAAGTTAAGATCCGGGCGACAGTGGGCTGTCTGTCTTCGTGGGCTCATCGTGGGCTTACTGAGGTTTGGCGTGGACCAACCTCTGGGGAAAGAAGGCAGTCAACCTCTTTCTGACGGCTAGATCCAGAGGGGGCTCTCAAAGTGTGATGACTTAGATACTGGACCCTTATCTTACCACATTAACAACTTCTCTTGTTTAAAATGGGCCAGTGCGGTTCCATGCCAGCGGGTATTCACTGAATGTTAGTTCACTTCAGTGAGGACAAACCTTCACATCAAGTATGAACTGACATGTCGCCAACAAGGGCCGTGACCAGTGGCCCAGCGAGCTTCTGAACAGCCGTGTTTCCAAATCCTCTGTCCCTCTGCTGCCACAGGTACACTCACTTTCCTTTCACTAATGCTACCATTTTTCACTTGGAAAATTAAAAAACCAAACCCACAGTCATCAAGTCGATTCCAACTCACAGCGACCGTAGAGGACAGAGTAGTACTGCCCCATTGGGTTTCCAAGGCTGTAACCTTTATGGGAGCAGATTGCCAGGTGTCTTTTCTCCTGCGGAGCCGCTGATGGGTTCAAACTGCTGACCTTTCGGTTAGCGGCCGAGCTATTAACCACTGTGCCACCAGGGCAGTTGGAAAATATCATCACTGTATTATGGAAAGTTACTAGGAATAATTTCTCAAGTTTCAACCAAAATATATTATCAAGTGTCCCCTAATCACCCATGTCATCTTTTCGGATTCGCACAGAACTCAGTGGCATTGTCATTATTTGCATAAGTAAAAAAGACCACCGGGTGGGAGACAAACAGGATAAAACACTGCACCCTGAAATATCCCTGAAATACTGCTGTTTAAAACAAGCGTGAGACTCCGCAACGTGGGCCTTAGAGTGTTCTGAAGCTGAGGAACCAGGCTGTGCTATTTAAGGACTGGGGCCCACTGCCTTTGTGTTCTAAGCTGGCAGAAGCTGCTTCTTTCCAGGCCAGACGCTTGGTTTGACTGAGAACTTGAAAAAGACCTCCCAGCACGTCACACAAAGGACGTGCCCCCTGCGAAGTCCTGGGGGCCCCAAACACTGAATTCTCAGAACACGAGCTTGTTAATGAGCCGTGGTACCAGCCTCCCTCCTGCTTTTATTTTTAATTTCCTATGGACAGTGGTTCATGGCAATGTCCACTCTGGACCATCATCCATGATGAGAGGCCCGGGGGGAGAGACAGCATACTTCTGACAACAGGCAGACTCAGCTTTGACTCTCAGGCCGGGACTTAGAAGCTATGAGGCCTTACTTTTCTCTAAGGACAGAATCCTCTGGGTTGTTGAGTGAAGCAGGTAAAATAGCCCGTGTAAAGTGACCAGCTCACAAGCCTTACTCCCCCTACCTTTGTCAAGAATCCTGACCAGCATGGATGAAGGCAGCCATGATCATCTGATGCCCGGTCTCAGTACATAGACATGACCCCCCACTTCTAAGCCCAGTGAGCTTCCTGTGCTTCCTGGGGGGCTGGGGCTGGTCCTAAGTCGTCGGGGCCTGTCCAAGTCATTCTCGTCTATGGCTGGGCTGTGGGGGTGGGGGTCCATGATCTCTGGCTGTGTTCGCGTGTGCCGGCGGTCTTTCCAAAGTGCCCAGACACCATCTTGTGGTCTCTGCTCCCAGGGACTCCCCGGACTTGCCTAGCGGTGGGTGTGTCTCAATCACGCTTCCCCCTTCCGGGGCGAGGCACCAATTAAATGGGCAGCACTCTGGTTGGGACTTAACACTAGGTTGGCTTTCAGGGACTAAAGGGAAAGAAGCCCTTTCAAACTACCTCAAGCTGAGGCTGCTCCAATTGAGAAGCCTTCTGGTGCCATTCAGTGGCCTGGCCGGGCTTCTGCTCCTCCATCTTTCCCACCCCACCTCATCACTTACAGCCTCAGTCCAGGCCTCAGCATCGCTCTCTTGGGCTTTTGCAACAGCTACCAGACGGCCCCTTTGGCCGTTAGTGCTGCTCCCCCCATCAACCAGCCCTTACCTGCTTGAGGGTGACTCTGTAATGGCTACTGACGATCAAAGCCCCCATTTATTGAGCCCTTGCCCTGTGCCAGGCCCTGTGCTAAGCATGTCACTTTTGAGAACCGGTCTTCACCACTCCCTGTGAGGTGGACACATGGCCATCACATCCCCACTTTATAGACAGAGAAGCTGAGGCACATGGGGTTAAGTCACTTGGCCAAGGTCCCATACCAGTAAGAGGTGGAGACAGGGTGACCTGATCGATCTTCCTTCTCCCCTGCTAACTCCCAATCCTCTCAGGGGTGGAGTCCGCCCTCGGAGGCAGGGACCCTGTCAGCCTTCAGTTTTCTCTCCAGTGCTGCCCTGCCCTTGCACTCTGCTCCGGCCCCTCCTTGGTTCACCAGTCCCTCCGCCTGGCTCCTGATGTTCCGGCACCCCTTTTCTCCACTGGGGGAAATGCTGCTCCTCTTTCAAAGCCAAAGTCCCCTGTCCCTTTCCATAAGTGGCCTTTTCCAATCTCCCAGCTACCAGAAGCAGTGATGCTGATGCTAGCCGAAGTTACCATTTACTGAGCAAATTCTGGACTAGCTGTGTGACCTTTGGCAAGTTCTTAAGCCCTCTCTGCCACCGCTTCCTTGTCTGTAAGATGGGGCTGGTCACCTATCTGCCTTGTCTCTGAGCGGGGATAATGACAGGGGCCCCTCATGGGCTGCTGTGTGGGTAATGAGTTAGCGTCTGTGAAGTTCTTAGAGCAGCGCTGGCCAGTAGCAGGGCTGGCTCTGAGTTAGCATGTAAGTTGTTGTCATAGGGTCGATTCCAACTCATAGCGACCCTATAGGACAGAGTAGAACTGCCCCATAGCGTTTCCAAGGCTGTAATCTTTACAGAAACAGACTGCCACATCTTCCTCCTGTGGAACAGCTGGTAGGTTTGAACCACTGACTTTTCGGTTAGCAGCCGAGCGCTTAACCACTGCACCACGAGGGTTCCTTCCATGTTAACAGAAGCAGGCTGAGCACTTCATGGCATTATCCCATCTGATCCTCTCCACATGGGGCAAGGTAGGCACAATGTTTGCCTCTATTTTATATCTGAAGAAACTGAGGCTTAGAGAAATTTTGCAAATCTAAGACTCACATCCAGGACTGTCTGACTCCCATTGTTTTCCATCTTAAACTTGACGCTCCGTACATCCCCTGTGACAACTCTTGTGCCATCCAGGCCTTTTCTACTAGGAGCTAAGCTCCTTGGAGACATGGGTGGTGCCTCTGGTCTGAGTCCCCAGTTCCTGGCACGCCCGCATGACATGGCACAGAGAATATGCTGGCTGAACTGAGTTACACTGAACTGAGCTTGTAGCTTCTATTTCCGGCCACGGCAACAACTGGGATCATAGTCAGAACACAAACCTCCATGGAAGTTCTGCCGCTGGCACCACGCCCTGAGCCAGAGCTGCTCCACTTGCAAGGAGCGCGACACACGGACTTAATTTGAGGTTTTCATTTCAATTATAATCTAAAATTACTTTACCAGCTATCAAAACTAAATTTCTTTTCTGCAGCTATAATTTAAAATTGAGAGGTATTTTCATAGAATAAACTTCAGTTTCTCAGTCTGTGTTTCTCAACTGCTTTCTGAGGACAAGTTCTCGAGGGTTCTTGAGGGTACAGGAGATATTTTCCCTTGAAAACATTACTCAAGTTAAAGAAACTGCTCTGTGCCAGGAGGATGTTTTTGGTTTTGAGAAGTTTTGGAAGAAGATGGCTTTCTCTTTCAAAGGCAGCCCCACCTCCTCCTCCTGCCCCTCCCCGGGGGGCAACGTGGGGGCAGCAGGGACTAAGTGTCAGGGGAGGCAGGGATGAGAGGCGGCGTGGAAGCAGTGCTGTGAAGGAGCCGGTCTCCTGGCCAACACTGCCTTTCCCAGTATTGGTCTTCCTGCTGGGCCAGGGCGTGCATACATGCAGGAGGGCTGGGCCTGGCAGGGCCAGTCTCTGGGCAGCTGTACTCGTTGAGCTGCTAGGAATGGCTACCCTTTTTGCCCTCAGGGTCTGTAAATAAGCTCAGATGGCTTCAAGGCCACCAGAATGGCAGCTGCCTTCCACAGTCTCTTCTTCAGTGTCGGAAGATGTAGTGGCTTGAATGGTGGCACCCAAAGATATGCCCACGTCCTAATTCCCAGAACCTGTGAATGTGACCTTATTTGGAAAAAGGGTCTTTGAAGATGTGACTAAGTGAAGGATTTTGAGATGAGGAGATCATTTGAATTATCCAGGTGGGTCCTAAATCCAATGACAAGTGTCCATATAAGAGACAGAAGAGGAGAAGACATAGGGAAGAGATGGCAACGTGACCTCAGAGGCAGAAATAAGAGTGATGTAGGCACAAGCCAAGGAAGGCTGATAGCTACTAGAAGCTGAGTGGCAAAGGGGCAAAGAACAATTTCTCCCCCAGAGCCTTTGGAGGGACAGAGCACGGCCCTGCCGCCACCCTGATTTCAGACTTCTGGGCTCCGGAAACCATGAGACAATAAATTTCTACTGTTTTAAGTCACCAAGGTATTTGTTTCGGTGGTTTGTTTCGGCAGTCTCATGAAATGAATACAGGAGTGTCTCAGAGTCGAGGGCAAACCGCGCTCAACTCACGGGAGGGAAGCTGGCTCATCCCGCTCTGCCGCATCGGCACCCCAGGCCTCACCTCAGGCCTGCAGCACCCACCGGGACTGCCTCCTATCTCAGGCATCTCTGTGCAGGCAGGGGCCCTGCAACCCTGCCAGGTCCGTGTGTCTTCTCTCCCTGACCAGCCTGGTTTCCTGATTCCTCAAGGGAACCTCCTGTTCTCCCACCTGACACCATGCCAGGCTCAGGTCCTTTGGTGCTCCCTCAGCCCCTAGGTTGTTGGTTTCGTTTTTAAAAATTTTATTGGAGTAAAATATACAGAACCAAGCGTTTGCCCTTTTAATCATTTTGAAGTGCACAATTCAGTGGCATTAATTATATTCACAATGTTTTTTAAGCGTTACCACGATTTATTTCCAAAACGTTTTCACCACCCCAAACAGAAACCCCATACTCATTAGGGGATAACTCCCCCTCGCCACAGCCCCTGGTAACCTCCAATCTACTTTCGGTCTCTCTGCATTTACACTGGCCTGTTCTAGATATTTCATACAAGTGGGATCATACGATACTTGTCCTTTTGTGTCCACCTCTCGGCTATTATGAACAGTGCTTCGGTGAACATGGTGTACACATACCTGTTTGAGTTCCTGCTTTCCAGTCTTTTGGGTATATTGGAGGTTGGTTTTATCATGGCACTTCTCACAATTTGCAATATTTTATTTATGGTTCTCTTTTCTTTTCTTTTGCTCTATTTAGCCCACTAGGCTTTAAGTTCCACGAGGGTAGCAACCCTGTCTGTCTTGTTTGGGTTTATATCCCCAGAGCCCAGCACCGAGCCTGGCAGAGAGCAGGTACTCAGTATTACTGTTGAATAAACGAATAAACCTGGGCAAGGAAACTAACTCAGCTGAGCCCATTCCTTCAGCTGAAAAAAGGAGACAGGTGATGCCTACTTCAGAAGGTAAACCAACAAAAAAAATCCCATTGCTGAAAACTCGATTCTGACTCATAGTGACCCTACAGGACAGAGTAGAACCGTCCCACAGGGTTTCCAAGGCTGTGAATGTTTACGAAAGGAGACTGCCACGTCTTTCTTCCTTGGAGCAGCTGATGGATTAAAACCACCAATCTTTTACTTAGCAGCCAAGTGCTTAACCACTGTGTCACCAGGGCTCCCTCTTAGACGGTAACAGGAGTTAAATTGTGGACTTAAGTACCTGGCCGCATGTGTGGCTCAGAGGAGACATGTAAAAAGGTCCGCCCCTTCTTTCCCTCTTGAGCCACATCAGCACATTTAAGAGATATTCCCTATAAATGAGTCTCATATTAAAAAAATAAAATATATAAAAATTACATACAGAATAAACTATAAGGGGGTAATTTGCTTTATGAAAGGGTTAAAAAATAAACTACTCTTGTGTAGTCAAAATGACTCCATTTACCAAAAATAAAGAAATTTTATGGAACTTTTCTGAAATATATTTTATAGTGAAGTGTTCCTGCATTGCCAACTACCTCACCATTACCCTCCTGCCCCAAAACAAGAGCAGCTGAGTGGAACTTCCAGATACTGAAACAGTTCTCAGTTGGAAAGGAAGAAAACTGGAACTTGTCAACCAGGAAAGGCTTGTTTTCATTCCCACTTTCCGATCTCTCGAGGGCCGTACGTGTTTCATTCTCACGTGATTTTGGTGTGAGATGACCTACAAAACTGCAGGCCCCAGCAACGGAAAGCCAGATCTCTGTGCCCCCCTCCCGGGCTAGATCAGGCCTCCTAGGAAGGACCAGCCGAGGGCTGCATGGGCCCAAAAGGCCTGAGGAGAAACCGCTCAAACCATGCTGATGCTTATGGGCGCTTATGTCCCGGCACTCACTGCCCAGCTCTGGGGATTGAGCAGAGACACTTACCAGCACTGCCATCTCCACCATGTCGGGCTGCTGGAGGAACTTCGGGTCCACGGCTGGCCACGCCTGAAGCAGCACATCAGCATCCCAGGTGTAGTGGGCACACAGCTTCTGAGGTACCAGGGCCAGGCCTGCAATGTCAAGGCACAGGAGGGTCACTCTGAGCACACAGGAGGCTCATACGGCAGGATAAGCCCTTGCCCCATACAGCCTGGCTTGGGGCTGTCCTAGGAGGCTTTGGGAGGCCCCACTGTGGCTTTTCACAGCCTACCTGGTGCTCCCCACTCACTGCGGCCTCGCTCACAATCCCAATCCTAGGTTTATATGTAACTGTTTTTTTTTTTTGCAAGTGGCACACAGAGCTCCGTAATGATAAATGGATGGACATCCTCCTCTAGAGTGTGCATTTGGACAGCAAGGCTGCTGATTTTATTTGGTCACATCTCTGCTGTTCTGCTGGTGAAGGAATGCCTTCGTGCTACCCTGAGTAGTGATCCCAGAGTGCCATAACGGCATTCACCTCCTTCCTTGCCAATGAATACTGTGGTCTGAGAGGGCCTCCCACCCAGTGTTTCTACCCATATCACCGGAGCTTATGACCTGAAGGAAGAAAAATGGCCAATCATGGGCTTTAGAGCTTCTCTCTTGCTCATACTCTTCTGCTTTGCCAACAGCAAAGACAAACTTTGGCCCCAAACGTGGCTGTGTAAACCATGGTAGTAGTTGAAAACAAAGCAAATTGGAAAGAGGGTTCATCTGTGCATGATGGCCTGGCCTCTGGGACTCTTCTGGAGCAGCTGTGTGACACCCTCTCTACTCCTGACCCTCCACACCAGGCATCACCACCACCTCCTCATCTTCCCAGAGATAGGCCCTGGGCAGGGGCGGGCAAGTGAAAGGCTCTCCCAGGGGTGATGAAGGTGGGTTGGCCCTTTTTACCCCTCCCCGTTATTAGCCCTTGAGACCAATAAAATGCATCTGAAGGATGTGCGCATGGCTCAGGGTATGTTCTGAGGCTGAGTCTGGGACCAAAAAAAACAAACCAAACCAAACCTGTTGCCATGGAGTCAATTTAGACTGATAGTGACCCAACAGGACAGAGTAGAACTGCCCCATAGGGTTTCCAAGGAGCAGCTGGTGGATTTGAACTGCTGACGTTTTGGTTAGCAGCCATAGACAGAGGGACTGAATTCCACCCATGAGAGCCCCAAGAACACTGGCTGTGAATGATGACTTCACTTCTTGTTTTATTTTCCTTGATGACAAAAGTAAGACATACTCCTTGCAGAACATTTGCAAAAGGCTAAAATTAAAGAAAATGATATTCATCCAAAACAACAATTTTTTTAACTTTTCATTTTGAAAGACGAAATTTAATACATTTAATGAATATTTGTGTGCATAAACCAATCCCCCTCTGTATCACCCTGCAAAAAAAAAAAGCAAAAGAAAACAAAACCATCACCACTGTCACCACCAAGATCATGTTATAAATACAGTTTATATTGTTTTTCCCCATAGTTTAAAATATTATTTAATTTTATGGACAAGGATGATACAAAATCATATATAGAGTATGATCCTAGTTTTATTTTAAAGATTATATGAATAAAAAAAGACTGGAAGGAAATCAGAATAGTGATAAAAAATTATCTTTGGGAGGTAGGATTATGGGTTATTTTTTCTGTCTTTTTTTAAAAACATTTTATAGATTTTTTCCCCAAAGAAAAAAATTTTTTTTTGTAATCTGAAAAGATATTTAAAAATAAAGTTTATCTGTACTCTGAGACCAGCTCAAGATTTTTCTTCTGGTTCCTTTTTCAGGTTTCATTTAAATTCTGAATTTATCTATAACTTATTTTGTATATCATGTGAAAAAATATTATTTACAAATATATAAGGTCAACTTTCCCAATTCAATTTGTTAAATAAATCATCCTTTCCCTGTTGGCTTGTGATTTTTCCTTTAAAATATATTAAACCAGGGATTGTTTCAGAAATATTAATTTCTGAGTTACTCAAAGTGCCTGTCTGAGATGTGAGAAAGAACTTGAGCCAGAATGTGAGTTAACACACTGCTTCCTTCATTGAGAAAGTGAACACACTGCTTCCTTCAGTGACAAAGTCTTGCTATCAAAAAAAAAAAAAAAAAGGTCAGCTGAACTTAACACTGTGTTTAGTGACACACTTGATTTATGTTCTAGCACAAGCTCCTTATTTTGTTGCGGACTGTAACAGACAGTTCACAGACCAGCCACTGGTCTGTGGACCACTGAGTAGCACTGGTCCATTCTACTTTGTCGATCTCTATCTTGATTCTCCTGCCAGTATCACAGTTTTATTTGTTGTAGCTTTAAAACATGTTTTACTATCTGGCTTTCTTGTTATAACCTTGTGTTGCCAAATAATATGAGGGAAGTGAAGGCCCAAGTCTGAAAATATTAAGTGGTGTAAGAGATGTATTCCAGGCGCCTACCTGGCCCCTGTGCCCTCAGGCTTCTGTGCTTACTAATGAACCTACTCCATTTCTAACAGATGTGCCTTTTGGCAGGAACATAAAGGTGTTTCCTGCTTGTTCCTCAGAAGGGATCCTATTAAAACTCATATCTAAATACAAGACAGAGGTCACAGAGGAGAGATAATCATTTCTTTATTTTAGCAGGCTGGCCCAGTATGGCTTGTCCTGTGACCCAGCTGCAGTGGGAAGAAATCCAAAACTTCCGTATGGCAGTTGTTCAGGATGCCTGGGAGATGAAAGGACCTTGGACACAAATGTTCTAGGCAGAAGCTGTTACAAATCCCACTTTAAAAAAAATGAGGAAGCCCAGCCTTCCTGGAGTAATCAGGATGCTTATTTATAGCAGCCTGGATCCTTGCCAGTGTTTCCATATAGATGGGAGTGAGGCTATCCTGTTCAGCATCTAGAAACAGAAACTCAGGACCTGGTTTATACAGACTGTTTTGCATCCCTGCTCTTTTTAGGGAAGTAAAAACATCTAACATTTGCATGGCAAACACAGTGGCTTCTTTACATGACAAAGCAAGGTGACGCTGGTCAGGTTGAGAGCTGGCCTTTGAGAAGGACATAAAGTCTGAACCCAGGCCAGGTAGTGGCAAGGCCACCACGCAGGGCCGGCTGCTCCCCACAGCCCACCCTTTCCTCCCCCTCCTCTGGGAGAGCTGTTGTCCCTGACCTTCCAGAGAAATCACTAAAACAAGCCTCCTCTCCCAGTCTGAGAGGTGGTGAGGTCACCACGCTACCTTACCGGGGAGAGCTAGAGTGGTCATTGTGTCTGTGGCTGGCAGTCCCCTGCTGGTGGTCCTCTTCAGACCTGCCTCCATCCCCCACCTCCCCACCCCTGCCCTCATAGACATCAGAGGACTTGGGGGCTCAGTGCGCTGATCCTCACCGTGCCTCAGCCAGGAAGTAGCACCACTTCACTTTAGCTTTTACCCGAAGAAATGGTTTCATTGACATTATTTTGAAGGAACAGCATCTACACAGCAGATACATTTGTGTATAAAATACCATCAGTGCATGAACAGACATCTTATTCTCCTTTACTCTCTCTCTCTCTCACACACATACTTCTACACGATTTGTGTTTGTAGTTTTGTTGAAATTAATGAACACAGCATATGTGTACAGTAAAACACAGCAGTAGCTACAATATTTCACAGTCACTTTTTATTAAAAAACTATAAAGAAAGTCATCTTATTTTATGAAGAAAAATGGATTTGTGGGGTAGACTTTTTGATACTTCCAGATTACGAGTTACTTTTGAGTGCGTAAGAGAAGGATCTTTTTGCTGTGGGTCTCAGAATTAAAATACTGACGGCATACTTGGAGATCACATGAGTTAGGAGCCCGAGGCAAAAGTCAAGAAAGAAAAGTCACTGTACAACTATAAAAGTGGCCAGAGAAACAGAAACGTTTCCTTTAGACGGAGATGTCATCATCATACTTTAAATAACTTGTATGTGGGGCAAAAGGCTAATCTCAAAGCAGCACAAAGAAATAGCCAAAGATGAGAAATCACCCAAATGCGCAAGGGTGGAGACTGTTTAATAAACTAGAACATTCATACAGTAGGACACCATATAGCTGTTAAAAGGGAACAGGGTAGGTCTGTAAATGCTGGTACAGAACTACTCTGAAGTATATTAAGAGAGAAAAATGTGCGTATAGAACACTAACATTTGTATAAAAAGACAGACGTGTTTATGTACATGCATCAAGCTCTTCTGGAAGACTAAATAACAAACTAGTATCAGAGGTTCTTAGAGAGAGAGCAACCAAAAGACAGGGGCTAGGATGGAACGGAACTTAGGATACATCTTTTTGTAGTAGCTGAATGTTTTACCATGTGCATACAGACATATTTTTCAATAAAAAAATTGGGTTTTGCTTTGCTTTACGAAGCCCAGAGAGGTTTACTGGAGATTGGAATTGTTTTCTGCGGTTGGCTCTAGGTGCCCTTTTCCCCCCACTTTTAAATTGTGCTTTAGGTGAAAGTTTACAGCTCTAGTTAGTTTCTCATTCAAAAATTTACACACATATTGTTTTATGACATTGGTTGCAATCCCACGTGACTCTCTCCCTTTTCATCCTGAGTTCCCCGTGTCCATTCGTCCAGTTTTCCTGTCCCTTCCTGCCTTCTTGTCTTGCTTTTGGGCAGGAGTTGCCCATTTGGTCTTGTATATTTGATTTCTAGGCACTTATCTTCAGAAGCTGGGCATGTATAGAAGCGAGGTCACTCTCAGGGGCTTCTTGGGCACTTAGGGCATGCCCATACTCGGAGTATGAGTGCTCCTGCTCCCACTTCATGCTGCTCTGCTCAACGACTGCAGGAAACATGGGCACCCGAGACACGAGGACGAATGGTTGGGTTTGTCCAGTTTTCTTGTGTGTGTGTGTGTGTGTATGGTGTGTCTATTAAAATCTTCTCCAACTAGAAATTCCTTTCTCCCTTCTTTCCTCTCTCATGGTCTACTATGTTCCAGAACTTGACTCAGAATAACAGGACTTGCAGGTTTAGAAAGGCCAATTTAAAAAAAAAAAAAAAAAAAAGTTACTTTTTATTTTGAAATACTTTTGGATTCACAGGAAGAGGCAAAAAAGAAAATGCA